GAATGGCTAAAATCAAAAACACCAAGGACAGTTTATGTTGAAGGGGATGTGAAGAAAGGGGAACACTCTCCACTGCTGGTGGGAGTGCCAACCCATACAGCCACTTTGGAAATCTGTATGGTGACTCCTCAAGAAAATGGGAATCAGTCTACCACAAGATCCAGCAATTCCACTCCTAAGCATATACCCAAAAGAAGCACATTCACACAATGACATCTGTTCCATGATGTTCATAGCAGCATTATTTGTAATAGCCAGAACCCGGAAGCAACCTAGATGCCCCTCAACTGAAGAATGGATGAAGAAAATGTGGTACTCATCGGAAAAAACAGAATCTTGGAATTCACAAGAATATTGATGGCACTAGAAGAAACTGTCCTGAGTGAGGTAACCCAGTCACAAAAAAGACAAACATGAGCCTTCATCCAGTAGCTGATGGAAGCTGAAGCAGACACCCACAGCTAAACACTGGAACCCAGTTGCATAGAGGGAGGAGTGATGAGCAAAGGGGTCAAGACCAGGCTGGAGAAACACACATAAACAGCTGACATGAACAATGAGTAACTCATGGACCCCAGACTGATAGCTGGAAAACCAGCATAAGACTGATCCAGACCCCTGAACATAGATGTCAATTATGAGGTCTGTTTAATCTATGGGGCCTCTGGTAGTGGATCAGCATTTACCCCTAGTATAAGCATGGACTTTGGATCTCATTCCACATAGAGAGATACTCCCTAAGCATAGACACACTTGGGAGGGTCTAGGCCCTGCTCCAAATGATATGACAGACTTTGAAGATTCCCCCATGGAAGGCCTCAACCTTCCTGGGGAGCAGAAAGGGGATGGGAAAGGGTGTCGGTGGCGGCAGGGGAGGAGGGGAAGGAGAGGGAACTGGGATTGGCATGTAAAAGAAGATTGTTTCTAATTTAAAGAAAAAAAAGAAACAAATGCGAAAAAAACAAAAAAGTCAGTCCTTTATGGCTGCATTCTATTCACAAGAACAATGTACCACATATGAACACCATAGCACACTTTCACATGGGTCAATACTGCCAAAGGTATCTGATTCTCAAGGCTCTTACTGTTATTATTTACCCGGTGGGACTGTTGCACTACCCCAAGTTTTCTTTCCTTCTCGAAAATGAAATATATCTGTACTGTTTTGCTATTCTAATAATAGTGTAGTATAAGGATTCGGGAAAGATTCAAAATAGTACAAAGAAGTTATATAAAATAAGTCAAGAAAACCTGAAATAAGATAAAGAGAACGAAACAAGTAAAAATATATTGGGAACCAAAATGGTTGAGAAAAAAACATCAAAATGTGGGAAAGTAAATAAAAATAGAAAAAAAAAAAAACCTAAATGAGCAGGGGCTCCTTTCAGAATGTAGCAGAATGATGCCCAGCAATAGGGGAGAGGCAGCTTGAAGTGGCCATCTCCTGGGATCAGATCATCAGAGAGCCTTCACCCAGTAACTGATAGAATCAGATGCAGAGACCCACACCTAAACATTAGGCCAAGCTGAGGGAATCCTGCTGACGAAAGGGGGAAAAAGGATTATAGAAGTCAGAGGGGTCAAGGACACTACACGGAAACCCACAGAATCAACTAACCTGGCTCATAGGAGCTCACAGAGACTGAACCAACAGCCAGGGATCCTGCACGGGACCAACCTATGCCCTCTACATATATGTGATAACTGTGTAGCTTGGTCTACTTGTAGGACTCCTAACAATGGGAACAGAAACTGTCCCTAATGCTTTGGCTGGTTATTGGGAATCTATTCCTCATACTGGATTACCTCACCCAGCCTTATACAAGTGGAGGTGCTTAGTCTTATTGCAACTTGATACCCATGGGAGGCCTTCCCCTTTCTAAACAGAAACAGGAAGAGTGGATAAGGGATGGAGAGGAGGGAGGGGGAGGGAGGGGGAGGGGATGGGAGGAGAGGAGGGAGAGGAAAATGCAGTAAGGATGTAAAACAAATTTTTAAAAAAGAATCTAGCAGAAAGAGCTAGGGATATACAGTGGTAATGAAGTGGCCTATCATGAATAAGAATGTGGATTCGATAACAATAAAGAATTGTCCATATGAAGACTGTATCTTTGCCTATGGCAGTACACCTCTGAAACCACAGAACTCAGGAGACTGAAGCAAGAAGAGTGTGAGTCTAACATTAACCTGGGCTACCAAGACCGTGTCCTGAGATCTAGAAGAATCTAGTGAAACCAATTGACAAAACTCCTGCCTGTCCCCACCCTTGATGAGAGGGAAATAGGCTGGAGGCAGGAGTGAAGAATGCCAAAAGAAACCTTGAGCTATCTGTGTATGTACCATTGAGTCCAGTACCTATGTTCCCTAAGAACCGGGCTTCACTTTAGGTTAGGCACATCTGCCTGAGATGACTGTCAAAAATTAGGCAAAATTCATAGTTCCAAACATGTAGATCTTGTTGCTCGGCCTCCAGTGCTCCCTAACCTATGTGTGTGGTCTATCAGAAAAAGAGAAACTCAGAAAGCAATAGATAAAACTTACAACAGAGGTTGTTTGGGCAAAAGCAGCGGTTTATTCATGTCTTACAAACATACAGTGCTGGCACAAAAGAACAGACACCATCTTCCTGACACCATGCTTCCCTCCAGATCACTTCTACTGCACTACAACAAGTCAGAACAAGTCAGCTACTGAATCACACAGTTCTTCAGACACGGCAACCTCCCTACCGGGTGGTGAGACTGGCTAAGCAGACAATAAATTAATTTACATGTTTAATACAGTGCAGGAATTGTAGCAGAGTTGGATATTCACATTGATATTGTAATACATTATAAACAGTACAGTTTTCAGAAATGATGGGATCACTTAACTCCCTGCCTGTTTCAACTCTTCTCTCGCTTTTCTTTTCTCTTGCTTTTCTCTTTTGTCCCTTAAAACCAGTTATAAGTAGTTGCAACCAACTTATCACCTTCAAAACACTTTAAATTGTGAAACTAAAAACTATTTACAAACAATTTAATGTGATTTTAAAAGTATCTGTTGTCAGACTTGTTTCCTAGTTTTTTTTAAAAAAAAAAAAAAAACCCTTTTCCAATAAACATCCTATAAATTGGATCACCATAACTTCCTGCCGCTTTGTAGGATATTTGGAAATGATGTCTCATAACATTAGAGCTCCAAGCTATCCTACATTCCATGGCCTATGACATCAAATGTGCAGACATACAAAGGCCTTCTGGCCTCCCCAGATTCCACATGACTGCAGTTCATTCCATGTTGTTTTCATAGACTGCTGAGTAGACAGAGACGGGAGATGACATTGTCACTGGGTGACAATGAGTGTGGGAAAAGCATAAAAGAGGTTGATTTCAATCTTTGTACACACAGAATGAAATACATTTCCTTACAGAAAGTTTGACTTTTGTCATAGTCATAAAAAGCACAGACAAGTGGTTTGGAAATACATTTCCATTGAATTTACAAACACTGTGATAGCAAACACATTCTCAGAAATGGCTAAAGCACTGACACAAAACTTGACTCAAAGGGTAAAATTTCCAGAAGACATTATCTCTAACTTGCATATTTAATAATTCAGCTGGACCTAAGTCACACGCATGACTCTCTAACAGCTCAAAGAGAAAAACATCACCATCGAGTTAAGCCTTCCCAGAGAATGCTAGAGTTCTGCTTGCCTTGAACAAGTTTGGCAAGAATTTCAGAACTTAGCAATTGGGACTGGCACAAGACATGATTCTTTAAACTATCTTAAAAATAACTGCTCAAGACAAATTGGCCTCCAAAGATAGTGCAGAACACAATGTCTGCGCTAATTTTACAGCTTAAGTATATTTTGTGAATATTTGTAAATGCTGATAGGATTATTCTTCTCTTGTCTTAGTCTTTTTACTTGACGTGGTTGATCTCAACCTGACAATGCACAGAATTTAACACATTTTCTTTCAAAGTAACTTAGTTCTTCCTGGAAAAGAATAAGTTAAAGACTTAGGTAGCCATGCCCTCTCTGAGAGGGAAAGACAGCCTTGAAAATACACTTGTACACTGAGAGATTTTTATAAAAAACTGTATTCTTAGCTGAATTTCTAGCTTAAGTTTATTTTTATCCACTAGATAATCTGACAGCTTCACAAAGGTAAATAGGAGTATCTTAGGCCACACTGAGGCTTGTAATGGGCAGTGAATAATTCAAGACCATGGTTCTTATGTGAAGTTACATTTTACATGACTCACTTGTGATCCTAGGGAACAAAAAATCTCATTGCAACCACAGTGTTCTTCAATTCAGCCCTTTAATAAATTAATTTCTCAATGTGTTTGCTGTCTTTGCGAAATGAACCTAAGCTACCCCTTTTATGATGAGATTGTATCAAATAATTACAAACCAAATGGAAATGACAGCATATCATTGATATATAGGACAACCATTTGTACATGACATATCTAACTAGAAAACAGACTTGAGGACATTTCTGAAATATCTTTGGATTTAAATAAAACCTTATCTACCCAACATGAAGGGACATGGGTTAATTTTCTTACAAAAAGGTGTGGTTTTCATTTTGAACTCTTAACAATCACCTGGACTTCCACTACCAAGGCAAAAGTGACATCATCATCTACAACACACACCTACCTGTGACTTGAGATTAAGCTAGAAAGCTCATTACAGGCTTGGTTGGCCCACTTAAGACCACACAAAGGGGAACTGATTATCTAATGAAAATTTAGCCAACACCTGTAATAAAGGAGGAAATTATCAAGATACACATTTACAACTGTTTTCTGGTCTAGTGATTTAATCCACTTCTAACCAAAACAAATAAATAGAGATAGATAGATAGATAGATAGATAGATAGATAGATAGATAGATAGATAGACAGATGAATAAATAAAAGTAGCTTGCTGTGCCACAAGCTTATAATCATGTATAAGAAAGAAAATTGCTTCTTGCCTAATAAAAATCATGGCAGGGAAACTACCCATCACAGAGCATATGCCACTTAGCAATTTGTCTCCTAGGAAAGTCACAGATCTCCTTCCAATGTCCCCCACCGCTTCCTTCTGCTGTTGCACCCAGGACCAACCGCCCAATGACCTCATTTCGGGATCCCCGTTCAGAATCCAAAACTAAAAACTCAACGCTTATTTCTTCAAGACTCTCACAAGGAATATCAAAGACAAACAGTTCATTGAACACTGCATTGGGAGTGCACTTTTTAACGTGAGTCTTCTTTTTAGAGATCCTCTTCTTGGCATGGTACAGGTTCACCTTGACATACGGATCTGCAAAGACATGCCACAAGTGTTAAATTGTCAACAGTTAGCTACAGATCCAACCTAGGAGACAACATTTCAGTACGGTGGAAGTGAGTATCTTCCAACATAAACAAGTATAAATTAATAGGAAGTGTGGATATGGTTGACCTTTCTGTTAATCATAAAATTGAAAATGATGGAGACTAAAAACCAGTTCCAGATCTGATGTTAGGGAAGGAACCGTAATAGCAGAAGGACTAAACAAAGGGGGAAGAAAAAGGGGTGCTGCATACTGCCTCCTAGCAACGAATACCAGAAAGTGAGATGAAGGCAGTGTCTGGGATTGCTGATTTTATGCTCTTGGGGAGTCTGGCTCCTGGTGGCTGCCACTGTTGTTGAACAGAGATTTGGAAACCATACTGGTCATGCCCTGCATTTTAGCTTTTCTGCAGGTGGTTAGCCAGTTGCAGAATTTGCTTTCAGTTTACCAGAGTTGATCACTCCTGTGACATTCTTACTAAATGGGTTTAGAATCATGTAACTTCATCACATATTATATTATTTTTGATTGCAGTATATATGTTATTTATCTTCATGATCTCAAGTTTTCAGAACTTGTCTTCAATTTCTACAATCAAATAATGATAATACCACTTGATGATTCTTTATTAAAATATGTATTTCTAGCTTTCAAAATGCCCTTCAAGTATTACTGTGCCCAATTTCTATAATGTTTAAGAAATATGAAGAGGATACTATACTAAGAAATGGAAGGGTGAAAATTTTAATTAAGATGTCTTTAACCTGTAACTTAGCTTATTTTCTTTCTAATATTCTACAACAAACATTTTGATTTTTCAGTTATTCAAAACTAAAATTTAATTCTTAAAGCATATATATGTCATTAAAAGAAACAAATAAGCTCACCAAAGAGTGAATGAGTAAGTCATTTGAAACGCGAAAGTTCAAAACTCTCTTTCTGAGCAATGTTAAGCTCTGTCTTTTCCTCTTCATATGTCATTGCTTTCTGCTTTAAGCCATTCACTTAAATGTTCCCTCCTCACTAACGCTGTCTTACAGGCATATGAATTTCCCTGTACTGTTGGCAGAATTGACTCAAATTTTTCCCACAAAGCAAGGAAACAAAAATCGACAATCCCAGTACTCATGATTGAGAATGTCAGAACAATAGTCCAGTGTTAGTCCACAATGTTTGTGAAACATAGTAGCCAGTTATAGACAGAACTCCGGGGTTTCAGAGGCATTCTCACCTGAAAGTCCAGACACATCAGACTTCGGTAGGTGCCGTGCTTTTAAGACAACCACAGTGAGCGTGTTTGTAGTGGACTGATAGCAGAGAGAGACCAGAAGCTCTCCCCGTCCGGAAGACTTCTAAACAAAGACAATACAGTAGACACAGTTTTCGTTTGGGGCTTTTGTACTCTTGTCACAAAACATACAGTACCATAATAGCTTTGTTATTTCAATGTCATGTTCCTATTTATTTTTATTTAAGCAAGCTAAGGAATCTGAGAAAACGCTTTTGTGCAGTCCTATAATGACTAAAACCATTGCCTGCCATCTTGTGGTTGTTTTAGGTACTACATAGTGCTAAAATTTGCCAGGATTTGACCACACCCAGTACTTACACATGTTTTGAAGGATGTTTATACTATATTCCCAAGATTTTTTACTTTGACTTCTGCTATTTAAGGATATCTTTAACCTTTTAAGTTATTAACAGTAATAGAATACATAATACTGTCCATTGATACGTGTAGGATCACATGGCTGATATTTTATCTTAGTTTAAATTCTGACATTATTGACATTTGAATTCAAGCAAAAGAAAACGTATTCTTCATCCAACCACTATTCTGGACCAGAATCATAATGGAGTTAGAATTCTTGTCCTACATAGTCAAAGTCTTTTCTCAATCTAAGGAGAATATAATTGAATTTAAGTATCGGAGAGAATTGGCTCAAGTTTTAGAACTTGTTTTTGAACAGTAACATGGATTCCTTCACTGCAAGCTACTTATATTTAATTTTATATTAAAGACATTAGCTAAAACAACTAAGAATGCAAAGTGCAAGCTTTAACTAAAACTAACAAAACAGTAACATGGAGCTGGCTTATATTTAAGAACAGCTAAAGAAAAATGTATCAAAAAAAGAATATATAGCTATATTCCTATAACTGGGGAAGACCACCTAAAACTAAGCAGCTCTACCAAAAGGAACAACAAAGAGTGAAAAGCAACCAAGGAGCTCTTTGAACCTAATGGGCCCCAATTGATGTCATATCATTTTCTAATCATCCAAGAATTGTCCAAGTAGTACAAGTAGGAAGGCAGGGTAATTCACTTCCTTTATGTAGCAGGAAAATGGACATTCATAAATGGGCATAACAGGATTTCCCCTTGTTCAAAAGCAATTTCATTCAAATTCCACATTGCATTCAAACTCCACATCCTGAGAAGGGATTACTTTAATTTTTTACTTCACTTTTAAATTCTGCTACTTTGGCCCTGAAACACTTTTGATAACCTATGTTAAGAGACATATCCATGAATTTTAAAGTAGCAGTCTTTTTCAAGATACTTTAATAGGAAGTTTAAATGCCTTTTACATAAATGATGTATAAATATCATAAAGTATGGCCTTTTACTTTATATCATTAAGATTCTTGAGCATTTCAGTTGTGTATTAAATTCCCATTTGCCTTCTCTGTTCTCTTGCTCTCTGTTTGCTGTCACCTACAGTAATTAAGGATAATGTGTACCAACTCATCATTTGAATGAAAACAACATGTATTTTTTTACACCTACACTAAAGATTCCTTATAAATATTTTAAATGCTTAAAGAATTACCTTAGCATTTCTCTTGATGATCTCTCTATTCATTAACATTTTTCCATCTGATAATTCAATCCCTGAAAGAGGGATCAGGACTTCTCCAATGATATCATCTCTCGAAAACCTGTCAAAACTCAAAACTGTGAAATGCAAGGACAACTCTTGGATGTGGGGATAAGGAATTCCGTAGAATGTAAAGGTTTCATCAAAAACTGGGTCCAGTGTCTTCCTCAGCACTCTGGTTTTCACTTTATGCTTCTTCTCCGGTAAGATCATCATTTTGATGTATGGATCAGAGGTCATAGATTGCTCATCCATGGCTGGTAAGCCCTGGGCTTCCTTGATGTTGACCACAAATGCTTTCTTCTCAAAGTTGTACTCTAGAGACAAGAAGAGTGTCCCCAGCTTCTCTTGCTTCTCTTCTGAAGTGAGGGAAGTACTGGACTTCAAGCTCTCAGGGGAAGTAGCCTCCTTTTCTCTCTCTGTAAAGAGCTTTGGGGTCACATTCTCTAGATCAGAAGGGCTGCCAGCTTTAAGGTTGGTTTTGGGGAAATTGCCATTGAGGTCTCGCTTCTCCAGATCAAGATGCAATGAAATTTTTGGCACAGCTGGTTTATTCTTAGCTTCATTTTTGTCATCTCCTCCAAACTTCTTTTTGCTACTTAGGTTTTCAGGGTAGATATCAACTCCTTTGAGCACATGCACAAACTTGTATGGGGGAGTCTTGTTGGACTTAGATGACCTTCTCTGGCAGCAGATCCAAGCAAAGAGAGAGACGGTAAAGACGAGGCCAAATGCACTGACGATCCCCACAACTGTGGGAATTTCATCTGAAAAACCAAATGACCAATGACACACATTAAATCATCAGAATAGAAATGGGAGACTGCAGGAAGATCATAATAAAGCTCTTGCTGTAAGAGAGGAATATTGAATTACTTCCCCACAGTTCTGGGAGTGAGTAATCGTAATGTTTCCCACTAACGTGAGGGTTACACATAGACCTATGTGACACACAGGAAATATGATTTAAAACTCCTTACTTCCATAGATTTTCATAAATAAATGAAAGTGTATCTGGAACAAACATGGGGTCATGTTTAATATTCTCACTTATTTATCTTAATAAAACAAAGTTTTATTTGATCATGAGTCAACTACAATAATATGAGGAAGTACCATTTTCATTATTTTTCATTAACATTTTGAAGCTTTCCAAAAGCATCAATCTACTAATTATGAATACATATATACATTTGTATACATAATAACCAGCAAATATTGAGAAACTCACTAAAAGGACATTTATACATCTGTATTACAACTCATATTAAAAGTATAGTTTACCATATCTCTATTCTATTTTAATACATCTCTAATAAAACTCATATTAAAATGATATCTTAATATAACTCTATTCACCCAATATTCAAGAAGAAAAAGAAACACTTAAATACAGTAATCTATACAACTAAAAATTATGGGAAAAACAGCACCCTGGCCATTTGTTATTGTTACAAATCCATTAAACTTTTATTCCAACTGTGGGGTTGATAAAGAGGCAAACATTTATTAATAAGGAGAAAAAAGAGTAAAAGAAAAACAATAGTTTGATAATAGTTTATAATTATAACATTATAATCCCTTTGCAATTCTGAACTTAAAATTCTTCAAGCCCTGAATTATCCAAAGCACAAAGTATTCCATGTGAGTTAAAAGAGAATAATGGCCATTAAATCCATAATTATTGCCAAAATGTGAGTGAAAAGTGAATATAGACAGTTTAGAGTTCAATTCTGCCCTAGTCTATTTCTATATGGCAAAAGGAGATAAAATTGATAATGGCATTGTTTTCTTAACTTCAAGCACATTAAATCATTGTCATCAAGTGACATGCCAACAGTGATTGTGCATGAAGCATGTATCATTTCATGTGTAAGCAGATTCTTGTAACATTTATTTGGTAACTGTGCTGCCACATCTCACAGTGAAGCAGTGCTTCACTGTGTAAATCTTTGCATAAAGTGAGTATAGCACATTTTGCACATTTAGCTATATTCTATCCATGTTTTATTTCAAATAGTGAATACTAAACATAAAAGTCCAAGCCCCAAAAGGGTTAACACTGTCTAAGACCAAGAAGACGATTCTTTTTTATGTCTCTTCTTCATCTCCTGAATATTCCGTCCATCTACTTCATAATCATAAAAATGAACTCAAAAGAAATCAAATGGAAAAACAGTAACAGAAATATGTGAGGTTAAAAAATAAAGCAGCAATAAAAAATTCTATAACTTAATTGTGTGACCAAATTAAATAGTGTAAAAAAAATGAAGTAAATATGAGAGTCTCCTAAACAGAAAAAAGTAAATCTAAATACTATAGAAGAAGAAGAAGAAGAAGAAGAAGAAGAAGAAGAAGAAGAAGAAGAAGAGGAGGAGGAGGAGGAGGAGGAGGAGGAGGAAGAAGAGTTAATCAGCTAAACAGTATCAGCTTCTTCCCTTCTATTCAAATCTCTGTGTGCCCCACATATACACACACAATCTAATAACTCAGGGCAAGGCAGCAAAAGCAAACTCAGGAACTAAGAAATGCTTCGGCCAATACAAGAAGAACAATAAAAGCCAGTGAAATCAATATTTTCTAAGTAGACAGACAACTGGGGATGAACACATGTTCACAAGGATAGTCTCTGAAGATGCCTCACTATGAGAAAATTTCTGGTTTCAAATCAAGAACTGGGTGTATCATACACACATATACAACCAACGATGAAAGGCTGATAAAATCATTTATGCATATTTTATTATCTCTAACATTCAAAACATCCAAGAAAACATGGGCTCAGAGTCTGCTAATGCAACTACTGATACTGTAGCTTTTGAGAGCAGAGATTATGCCATACCACTCTGAGTAATCATAATTGTGATACATCTAGAGATACTATTCAAATATTTCTCCATCCTTTAATTAAAAAATACTTATAGGTAAAAAAAAAAAAAAACCCTGGTCTTTTCCCAATAGAATATAACTGAACCTAGACTTGTTAATTGCTTTTCTAAAAGTCACATCTAGTTTATTTACTGAAGCAGACAAGGAGACCATAGAGACAAAATTTTGGAATACGAACAGGAAAAGCCATTCAGAAAGCAGGATCCTAATCCAAGTTTTGAGCAGCTTTTACTTAACTGTACAGCACTGGACTCCAGAAAGCTCAGCCAGAGACATGAAACAGGCCAAAGACAGTTTGATTTCAAACTCCCCAGAACTATGCTATCACAGAATTCTGTCTATCATTAGAAACATACTTCAGGGATACAAGAACACCTAGCAGAGAAAATTATGACAGTGTAATAAAATACTCATCTCAAATCATCAACATACAAGTTATTTTATGTCATACGGAACTCTTATGTAACCAAAAGAGTATGTGGCTTTCCTTAAAAGATTTACACACAAATAGGAATCATCCAGAAAATAAATGAAGCAGCGTTCTAACAACAGATGTCCTTGTCCTTCCTCAGCTCTGGCTTACAGAGCTGAGTGAACATTCGGGAACTTCTGGAAGGTGAAATCACAGAAGGCGATGCTAAGGAGAAAGCTACCGAGAAAAGGAAGTAAGCCACAATTAACCATCTGCCGTTCCCGTCTTCCTTTCAAATTAGCTACTTGAAAATATACATATTCAACATCCAGTGGCGAGCAAAGCACAGCACAGCCCCGAGCCCAGCCACAGCCCCAAGTTCAGCAACTTGCTCACCGAATTCCACGCGGCTGGTAGTGATAGGAGCCATGTTTTCTGCGTGCTCTGTCCGAGGTGCTGAAGAACTCCAGGCAGATTCACCTGGGAAGACCCTGGAACAAGGCTCTCCGGGGAACAGCCGATCCGGGGACCGCACCTGCAGCGGGAGGGGCTGGAGGAAGGTCTGCGCTTTCTAGCAGCAGTGTGCAACCCTGCCCTGTTCCTGTTTTGGCTCTTCTGAAAAGCTTGTCTCCGAGACTCCAGACGTGGCAGAAACCCGAATTGACGCAATCCTGACGCTACAGGGCTGAAATCAGCACCTGCCCTCCCCCTCCTCCCTTCAGCCGCTCCTCCTCGCCCTCCTTCTGGCACCCTCCCCTCCTCTCTTGAGAATTCAGCTCACACTCACCAATTATTTTAACTGTTGGGCTACTAGATATTAACTATGCTGTTCTGTTAGGCTCAGAGACACGCGAAGATGCCTCCTGAAACGTATCCTTGACATTCTTAATCCAAAATCCTCCTGATCATATACAGACATTAAAATAAATGTGCCCTAGTTATCAGAATATCATAACTTATAAAGGAAATAAAGAGTAAGGAGAGGAAAGCGTCCATATCAAATGCCTACTGTAAGATGTATCCTTATTCCCTGAAATATTCTGTGAAGTATTGAAGGCAAGTCACATTTGAGAGAAATACACTGCAAATTGATGTATTAAAAATATCCACGTTCCCTTTACAATTCCCCATATTTACACAATTTATAGTCTAAATATTTGGTTGGTGTTCCTGCTGTTTTCTGGTCTGTCAGCTATTTTCCTTTTAGTATCTGACATTTGACCTAGTTAAGATTCTTGGAAACAGTTGGAATTACTTCTGACTGTGTTAAATTTATTCTCAGATATGACTTTTAATATTTGGACACTTCTGATATGGTCATATTTACAGCCAAAGTCCCTATCTTCTAAGTAGGTTTCTGCAAACAAATTACAAGAATTGGACCAAATTCTGAAATAATATTACCAGTTACTTTCAAAGGAATGCTATTCTTTGGAATGAAGATCTGGAAAAAATATGCTGTCATATTTGATTAATTTGACTCTTAAGAGTATTACTCTCTAAAACAAACACTGAGCAGATTTGTAAAGAAGAAATATACAGCTATGACTTGCATCTATTACTTAATGTTTCACAGATATGTACAATGTCTTTTGCTCTGAAATTCAATAAAATGAAATTCAGTATTGCTGTGCTAAAGGAAGATGAGGCATGAGATGTCTCAGAAAACTACTGTACATAAGACGGGTGTCTGCACACTGGCAAACAGCTGCCTGAGCGTCAGCAATGTGTCTGGGGAGACATTGGTTTCAGCCCTCTGCATCATGGAAAATTTTCTAAGCCAAAACCTCTTTTCTTTCCCTTTCTACCAGCTCCCACACACTTGGCACTGTAGCATTCTTTGAATAACTGGTTTTTTAAACCTTACATACTCGTAATATGAAAACACAGAAACTAAGTTCTGCTGTAATTTTCCCATGGCAGTGTCTGTGGTAGTGTCCTAACTAATCTGATCATTGGCAGTTCCTCCCTTCTCAGCCCTATGCATTCACCAGTGGAATTGCTCCATTAGACGAAAGTGGCATTTATTTGTGATGCATTTCAAAGTAATCTGATTATGTGATGTAAATTGCATTAAAGTATATGTTTCCCATCTAAGTTATTGTAACATATGGCTAAGCTCATTTGCTATAAACAGAAGTATATTCTGTGTATGTTATATAAAAATTAGTACCTCATTAACTATGCCTTCAGATGGTAAAATGGTGTATAAAACCTGTCTAGATTTTATAAACAGTATTTCTCCAAAACCCAACCCATTGTGTGCTGCCTTGTTTCAGAGAGCTCAGTGAGATAAAATGACCACTTGCCCAGAGCTGATGGTATTGTAACTATTTCATTGCTTGCTTCAAGAGAAAACTGAAAATAAATGTCCATCAAAATCTGAAGTTTCTTTTTCATTTGATAAATACCACTTCAGCATTTATACAATCTCCAGATAAGCTTCAAGCAACATCAGATAAAGAGTAGAATCCATGAGAAAAACCTGTAAGTTTCTTATGATTAAGAATTATGCCCTACCACATTATTGCATTGTTCTTTCAGATCTAGAAAACTAGTAATCAATTTACTGACATGCCCAAGCTGATTCTTGCAGCACAGACAAGGGAGGAGGGGTTGTTGCTAGGTAACCACCCTTTTACCACCCAAAACACACAACCTCAAACAATTCCAGTCCTGGGAAGCAGAAGGTTCTGTCCCAGCGACAGTGTTTACTTCAGTTACTTGCACTGCAAATGCCTTCACATACTATGCTCTGAGAAACAATTACCAAAACCCTTGAATTCAACTCAGTATTTTAAAAATTCAGGTAAATTTAATTGATAACTCATTGATTTTTATTCTGTTTTATTTATTCAGTTAATTTTATTTAATTTAGTATGGAATCTGATTGGTAAAGTCCATAGTTTATTATATATACTTTATGATTTTAGCATTCCCTATCACAAAAATGATATTTGTTGATATACTAATATAATTGTGTTAATCACAGGAAAACTTTAAAAGTGTGTGAAATGTTAAACTGCTTCTCAGTGAGTTTTGGTAATACAAATGTATTTTCCTGGAATTTGGAGTGGACTGGATATCTGGTTGTAGAAAATGAATTATTACATCAATGTTCCAAGTCGCTGTATTAAGAATTCTGGCTGTCACACAAATGGGAAGGTTTTATATTACAAACATACCTAACTCTATTCATCCATTTTTACTACCAAAGTGTCTTTATGATTTCCTGTTGGAGTTTCAAACAGTCAAGTTTTACTTTAAGGTCTTTGATCCATTTTAAATTGACTTTTGTACAAGGTAAATAAGTCGAGATTCTAGTTTTGTTTTTATACATATAAATGAACAGCATTGTCACTTGTTGAAGAGGTTTTCTTTTCTCCAATGTATATTCTTTTTTAGCAACTGTATTGGAACAAACGTCTAATAGTTGAGTAGATGTGTATCTGTTCTATTCTATTGGATTTTGTGCCACAGAGTGCTTGTTACTATAACTCCATAATATAATTTGAGATCAACTGTTGTGATACACCTAGCATTGTTATTTGTGTTCAGGATGCCTTTAGCTATACGAGATCTTCTGTGCTTCCATAATAATTTAAGAAATATTTTCCTATTTCAGCAAAAATAGGAAATGTGTGGTGGTTTGAATAAAATGATCCTCACAGGTTTTATGTTTGAATGCTTGGTCCCTCATTGTTAAAAACTGTTGGGAGAAGGATAAGGAGGTATGTCTTTGTTAGAATATATGTGTCACTGGTGGACTTTGGCCAGGTGTGCTCACTCTCTCTCTCTCTCTCTCTCTCCCTCTCTCTCTCTCTCTCTCTCTCTCTCTCTCTCTCTCTCTTCTCATCTCCTCTCCCTATCTATCTCTATCTCTTTATCTTTCTCTCTCTATCTATCCCTATCTATCTCTATCTCTATCTCTCTATCTCTCTGGCTCCTACTTGCAAATCAGGATACATGGGAAAGGGCTTAGGTCCTGCCCCAAATGATGTAACAGACTTTGATGATCCCCCACAGGAGGCCTCACCCTCCCTGGGGAGTGGATGGAAGGTGGGATGGGAGGTTGGTTGGTGGGGGGCATGGGAAGATGGGAGGGAGAGGAAACTGGGATTGGTATGTAAAATAAGATTGTTTTTAATTTAAATAAAACTTTATTTTAAAAAATAAAAATAATTAAAATTTTAAAAAGAATTTGGCCTAGAAATCTCTATAAGCATTGCTTCTTTCAATTCACCTTGGAAGGGCTTCCTAGCTCTTCAAGATGCCCCTATTCCCTTTTTCATAAATGAGATTTCCCTTATGCTACTATCTCAATAAAATATTGGGATATTTTATATGTGTGTTGGGGAGTGTAGGGAGGGTAGAAGCACACCAAATTTTCTATTTTAAACAGTGGAGAGTCAACAGATATTTTATAATAATAGCTATTTTCACACGGTACAGGCAAACTCATGTCCAATAATCAGTGGAGTATTGTTGTGTTCTAGTATAAAATTTACATAATGAAAAAGTAAAATTAAATGTTAATAATGGTACACCAGAGAGAAAAACCAAACAAATTAAGTAAAATGTAGGCATCAGAAAAATTTGCAAAATTCCACTTAGTAAGAATTCCCTTTTAATGTAATGCTTATAGTTGGCTAAGAAGACCAATTTTTGGGAGCTGCAAAGTACCACGCCCAAAAGATGGCGCCGGTTTTTGCCTTCCGCCAGCCCAACGGCAAGTGCTCTCTGTGGTAAACAACTCCTAATTTGGTAAAGGCCATGTATCCTCTTAATTCTGCTTGGAGACAACCTATCCTGGCGCACCACGTAGGGTTAAGTGATTGGTAGATGTAGACTATATCAGGCCCCGTCTTCCTCTACCCGGGGCCGCCATTCACTGTAAAGCAAGGTTCCCGAATAAAATTGTGTGAAGAAGATTCCTCGGTGTTGCATCGTTCTTGCTGGTCAAGGGTGGACTTGACAACCAATGTTAATATACTCTGCTTAAAGTAAAATATATACATGAAAATAGCCTAAATGCAATGTGTGTTAAATAGAATGAATATGGATTTATTAAAATATAGAAACATGTTGAGGTAGGAAGTTAGGTATACATCAAAAGGAAGAAAACATTGAATTTGGTTTAGGAAGCATTTACGAAAAATAAGTCAAGAACGTGTAGACTTATGTTTCAAATAAATTACCATCTATTTCATAAATCAAAGTTGTGACCAAAGAAAAACAAACAAAAATATATAAACTAAATAAAGACATTATTCCTTCTATTTCTGAGTGGAGTGGTGACCTAGGGAGGCTGATACATGGCCAGGTCTTACTTTTAAAGCATAAACACAAAATAATTTTTAGAGTATGAAAACTCTTGAGGGACAATGACCATTACTCAGATATACACAAAGTAGGATGGTAACTTAGAGA